TGCTGTCCGAGCTCGCCTTGGTTCTCCAGCAGTTTCGAACCCGTTTTAGCTGTGTATAGCCTTTGTATCTCCTTTGTGAATCTAATAACAGGTCAATTAACGGACTTTGATTAAACGTTACAGGAAGCACATAATATATCTACAAACATATAAACGAGTTAGTTTACTAACACCCATAGTTTTTTTTCGAAGTAGTCCGGTTGTAGAAGGATTTGCCGCTCACATGTCAGCGTTGTCCGTGTTGCGCCCGATTGTGATGTCGTTCATAGCGTGTAATGGTCACAATCTTTGGGGAGGCTCCTTCTGTGTATCCCGGACACAAAAAGTAAGTACCTAAAGTTTGTCTCGAGCTCCAACTCCTAACTACAACAGTGGTAGGCTAGTGCTGCAGCCACTATTATAACTACTACCGCCAATACAGTAGCCGCCACCGCTGTAGCCGGCCTCACCTCGGCCCTTGACTGGGTGGCCCTTCCTGCACCGTTACCTTCTGCTCCCTGACTTCTAAAAGAAGAGTCGATGAAGTTGGGTCTGGGACTCTTGGCTTCCAACCTGGGAGGTCCGTCCGGGGGCTCCTGCATAGCCTCCAGCAGATTGCCGTTTATAGCCCCTCGTCCTCGACCACCGGTACGCCCAGTGTTTCGTTGTATCTCCAGCAGCGTAGTGATGATTGCCCCTCGATTGCCTCTCCCAGCGGTGATAAGATTCCTTTCAGCCATCTTGACTCGGGCACTAATCTACTTAACCAACGGATCGGAACGCACAGGGAAATTTCATAAATATCTTTATATTAACCTTAAACTAGCATCATAATATCTCAAATACTACATATACCGAAAATCACACAATTAACTATACTCTATCTACAGTTCAACCTGAAAAAAATAGCAAAAAAAACACCCTAAGATTTATCAGAAATTCCTAGATCACTATTTACACTTCAATTAAATAATTAATAGAAATCAATACACTTATTAACAATTACCTACCTTGGATCGACCTGAACTCTCTATCTGTTCAAGCCTTGTTTCAAGAACTGCGACTGATCTTCGAGGCAGTCGCGAGAAATGGTGTGTTCTCCACTTATTTCTCTGATCTTCGAGGCAGTCGCGAGAAATGGTGTGTTCTCCACTTATTTCTGTTCAAATGATTTCCGTCTAGAGAGGATAACTACTAAACATGATTCGCTCCTCAATAGAAAATTTTACGTCTATTTTAAGCCGGACGGGTTATTCCAGTTTTCCTTTTGGTGTTGGGCTTACGATTCTACTGCCAACAGGATGTCGCGGAAACTCCGCTTAGTCACCATTCCGTTCGCTGGCTTTGCTCTTGTACAGTAGTTCGGATATACATAGCGAGCTGCAGAGGTCAATTCTCCTGAGAGATGATACGTGCCGTAGAAAACCATTTGGTCTGACATCCCACTCCTAAACCAATATTCGGTGACGTCGCCGTTCAAGTGAGATCTTCCATCAGGGTCGACCGTGATCCGGAGATTCTCAGAGTTACAGGAGACGAGTACGCTTTCGTTGCCATGCTCAAGTTCCGCAGCCTGAAGCTGCGTCAACCATTTCTCGTGACTGCCTCGAAGATCAGTCGCAGTCTCGATCCAATTTTAGACCGCGTACAAATCGTTCCTGAGACCATCCGGTCCGTAAGCAGCTGGGATTATGACGTCGGGGTTAGTCAACAAGCTGTTGTTGAATGTTGCTCCCGGTATATGGTCCAGTTTTCCTTCTGGTGTTGGGCTTACGATTCTACTGCCAACAGGATGTCGCGGAAACTCCGCTTAGTCACCATTCCGTTCGCTGGCTTTGCTCTTGTACAGTAGTTCGGATATACATAGCGAGCTGCAGAGGTCAATTCTCCTGAGAGATGATACGTGCCGTAGAAAACCATTTGGTCTGACATCCCACTCCTAAACCAATATTCGGTGACGTCGCCGTTCAAGTGAGATCTTCCATCAGGGTCGACCGTGATCCGGAGATTCTCAGAGTTACAGGAGACGAGTACGCTTTCGTTGCCATGCTCAAGTTCCGCAGCCTGAAGCTGCGTCAACCATGCAGTCTCGATCCAATTTTTGGCCGCGTACAAATCGTTCCTGAGATCATCCGGTCCGTAAGCAGCTGGGATTATGACGTCGGGGTTAGTCAACAAGCTTTTGTTGAATGTTGCTCCCGGTATATGGTTTTTGTTAGTAAAGTTCCGTCGTATGTCGACAGGAACACGTCGATCACCCAAACTCTCGACAGTCTGCCTCAGATTAGTTAGGTATATAACTTCCGGTACAGGTATGAGCCTCCGTTTGTTGTCTAAGTGCTGCGCAGGGAACAGCGGCACAAATAAGATGTCATCAAATTCGAAGGTAGTGATGCATCGGAGTAGAGCTCCTACCTGTTGAGTGCATATATTTAAGCTTGTAATTACACTCTTAAAAGGTCCAAATGGGGCTGGGTCATACCACAGCTCACGGTCGTCTAATCGTCCCTGAGTTCGGTTGTCGAACACCTTCTTCTCAACTAGGGCTAGTTGCACACGATATAGTTGATTGATAGTCATTGGTGGTAACCGTTGTGCATTGGCCTCTGGAGCAGTAACTTTATTGAAGGTTGTTACTGTTGACACTCCGACTGCTCGTGTTGACACTGGGATCCCGACGTTGCGGGAAGTGTTCTCATAGGCTTTTGCCTTCAATACCTCCTCCATCGACACAGAAGCCCTCATAAGAGCCTTACGACGGTTTATAGCTAGACGAGGCCGGATAAGTTTTATCTATTCAGATAATGGCACGAATTTTGTTAGTTTAAACAAGAATCTGAAGTCTCTGACCTGGACTGAAATCCAAAATACATTCAGCCTCAATGTGATTGTGTGGAAGTTCATTCCCCCTGCAAGTCCTTGGTGGGGAGGATTTTGGCAAAGACGAATTACTAATCGAGTATTATGTAAGGGAGCTGTTGACCTTAGTGTTAAGTAAAAGTAGCCAGGTGTCTGTCACTAACCTCTATGATAGACTTGAAGTGCAGCTGCGGACTCTTGAAACTTTGGGCGTCACTAAGGACAAATATGCCGCTATGTTATTCCCTCTTGTCGAAACTTCAATACCAGAGAATATTTTTAAAGTTTGGGAAAGGTATCGAGTAGGCAAAAATGTGACCACAATGGAGCCTGGTAATTACTTACGAGAGCTATTGTTGTTCCTAAAGACGGAAGTTGAGGCAGAGAAGAGATTTAAGTTGAGAGAAGGATGTTTTGGGGTAGTCAAAGATAATGGGATTGTGTCTTAAATGTTTGAAGAAGGGACACTTAGCAAGTAAGTGCAGGATTCAAGTAAAATGTCACATCTGTATGGGTAAACATCTGGCAATTTTATGTCAAAAGATCCCTACCACTAATGAATCCAAGCCGAGTGGTGAGGACAAGTCAAAACAAACTCCGGTTCAAAGTACTAGTTCATTTTCGACTTTGAACAACAAAAGTAAAACTACCTATTTACAAACTTTGTATGCCTTTGTTAATGTAAATGGGGAACCGAAAAGGGTTAGAATCTTATGTGACTCAGGTTCACAGAAAAGCTTCATTTCTAGTCTCTGTGTATCTAAATTAAGTCTCTCAAGCAATGGTAAAGTTCTGATCCAGCAAGAAGTCTTTGTAGGTAAACAAACCGGTCCTAAATATCATAACACCTATGAATTAAATTTGAGCTCAATAAATGAGAACTTTCGGACAAGTGTCAACGTTGTAGAACAACATGTTATATGTGATCATGTTCCTAAGTTTTGTGATTACAGCTTGATCACTCGTTTAGGGAAAGAAAACTTATTTCTGACTGATGTTTCTTCTTGTGATGGCGATGACTTCACTGGTATTGATGTCTTATTAGGAGCTGACGTGTGGACACAGATCATCACTCCAGAGTTTCATAAGGTAAATGAGCAACTTGTAGCTGTAAAAACTCTATTGGGCTGGACAATTGTTGGCACGTCTGACGAGGAATCTTCTTTTGCCTCCTCCATGTTTGTGGTTTTCCAATCTTCACAAGATATTAGGCAATTTTGGGAACTAGAGACAATGGGTATAATGGATCCGAGTGTCAAGCAACAGAAAGAGGAGAGAGATAGAGATGTTTTAGTGTTCTTCGAAGACACCGTCGCCAGAGATGTGGATGGACGTGACGAGGTAAAACTACCTTGGATTGAAGACCACCCCCCTCTGGATACAAACCGTGAAGTAGCCAAAAAACGTCTTTTGTCAACAACACGTAAGTTGAAACGGAGTAATATGTATCTTGATTATGATTTAGTATTGAAGGATTGGTTGACCAAAGGCATCATTGAGCGAGTGACAGATGAAAACATTTTACAGCCATTGAAAAGTCACTATTTACCACACCGGGCTGTTGTCAAGGAGGGAAGCACCACGAGGATCAGGCCTGTCTTTTACGCTTCCGCTAAAGACTTATAAGGATCCTAGCCAAATCACGAGTTGCACCAATCAAACCAATTACTTTACCTCGTCTTGAGTTAATAGGTGCAATTACTGGTGTGAGACTCTCATGTCTAGCTTTACAGTGTCTCAACAACCCCAAAGTCCCAGTTTATTATTGGCTGGACTCCACCGTAGTTCTAGCATGGATTGCAAAGCAAGGGAAGTGGTCTGTTTTTGTTGAAAACCGAATGAAAGAAATTAACAGATTGACACAACTTTCACAGTGGAGACATGTTTCAGGGCCTGACAACCCTGCTGACATTCTTTCCAGGGGATGCACTCCTAAAAGATTACTCAATTCTCAATGGTGGCTTGGCCCTCAATGGCTATATGCTTCTCCTGATAAATGGCCATCAGAACGCCCATCACCTGATCCAGAAGAGCTTAAGGAAGAACTTCGTAAATCTGTCGTCACTGCTAGTTCTGTTGAGCCAATATCAATCGCTCAAATGTTAGGAAATAGATTTTCCAAGCATACTAAGATAGTATGAACTGTAGCGTGGATCTTGAGAATGTCTCCCAAGAATAAATTGAACTTGTTAAATAACATCAGTTCTGAAGAATTCTTGAAGGCAGAAAAGATTGTATTTATATTGATTCAAAAAGAGAGCTTTCCTGAAGGTATAAAATCTCAAGAGCTAAGTGGTGTACACAAATTCGTGGATGAAGATGGCGTCATAAGAATGAAAACCAGATTATCAGATCGGGAGGAAGGTTTTGAATACCAGTACCCTGCCATTCTACCTAGCAAACACCCTGCTGTTGAGAAAATTATCAGGCAGAACCATTTACAGAATAAACATGCAGGAGTACAAGCATTGATTGTCATCCTTCGGGACAGAGTGTGGATCCTGAAAGGCAGAAGGGCTGTTGGAAAGGTAGTTCACAACTGTGTTCGATGCAAGCGACACATAGCAAAAACCTTAGAGATGCCATCACCTCCCTTACCCACAGACCGCACTCAGATTTCTTCATGTTTACAAGTATGTGGGATTGACTTGGCTCGTCCATTGATCACTAGAGATATTTTAGAAGTGTTGGGTGGTAATATTTACATGTGCCGTGTATCGTGCAGTCCACTTCGAAGTCATACAATCCCTCGACACAGAAGCCTCCATAAGAGCCTTACGACGGTTTATAGCTAGACGAGGCCGGATAAGTGTTATCCATTCAGATAATGGCACGAATTTTGTTAGTTTAAACAAGGATCTGAAGTCTCTGAACTGGACTGAAATCCAAAATACATTCAGCCTCAATGCGATTGTGTGGAAGTTCATTCCCCCTGCAAGTCCTTGTTGGGGAGGATTTTACATCTTTCATTAATCGGGACTCAGTAATTTTTGAATCGGCTTCCAACCATCTCATTAAGCTTTCAAGATGAGTGATTAAAGGTGTATCAAATTCCTTTTTTGCTTGCTCAAATTCTTCGTTTTGATGGCTTGTATGTGAAGGAGGTTTTTTCTCTTCTTTCCTACTTTTAACGGAAGGTATCACCATTTCTTTAGGAATAGAGGGAATGTCTGGAATAGAATTGTCTATTGCTTTGTTAGCTTTTTTCATACAAGACGTTAATGAGATTCTCAGTTCTGTCATGCACCAAATCAGGAATCAGTTTCTTCTTCGACTTTACCTCCTTTTTCTGAGGAATAGGGGCCACTTTTGATTCAATTAATTTGGCTCTTTCTTTCTTTGTTAAGATCTTAGGATCTCTTAAACATATAAACATGTCGAATCATTCAAGTCGGCAATTTTCAATGCTATTTCCCATAAGAATAACATGGGGGGGGAATTCGAGATTACGGGGGGGGGGGGGTTAAAATTTAAAAATGTGTTTTTTTGGAATTTTCCCGGGGGTTTGGGCACTAGACCTACAAAACACCGAAAATTTCAAGTCTCTAGCTCATCTAGAAGTGGTCTTAGTTTCACAAGCGCCTGTATAGTATTTAGACACCGAAAATTTCAAGTCTCTAGCTCGTCTAGAAGTGCCCAAACATTAGTATACCTGATCAGTGAGTTACACATCGGGCTGTATAGTTAATTAGATTTCACAGTTCAAACAACAGAGGTTAAGAGGTATAGATTCTGTTCACAAACTTGAACTGATAAACAAATGTTTGAATCAGGATTAATACGTTTTAAAAACTAAAAAGATATCATATGTAGTAATATGGTTTTAAAATGTTACTAACTATCAATGTAAACACTTTTATATGTGTTTAAGTCAATTTATAAACTAAATTTCAACTATAGCCTACCTACTTGTATGCTATGTAGAAGTAGCTACTACTTATATTTTCTTCTATCTATCTACTTCACAAACACTTTTTATAACACTGCTTTAATTTTACTTTGAAGAATACCACAGTCCATAACATACTTATGTTTTTTTCAATGTTTTAAATTATTGAAAAATTTAAAATAATAACTGCTATGTATTAAGTTATTGATTTATATTTAATTAATAAAATCTGTGTCCTCATTAACAATAATAGTGGTTGGCCTTTTAATACAAGTTTTCCTTTAGTCTATTTTTTTCTTTTTATTGTTATATACACATTGATCTATGAGTAAAGCTCATCAGCTATAATAAAACATATCAATTATAAATAAGCTCAATATAAACTAGATTTTCTTTACTACATTGAGCTTTACGTTGTGTGATTATTTTAACGAAAATTTAATTGTATGGCTACATCAATTGAATTGTTCCATAAATATGTATCAACACGTTATATAATTTGTATTAACAGCCTTATAACTTATCCTAGCCTTAAACAAAACTATTGGATTCAGTTCACTTGTGTTCCTGAAACCAGAAAAGAATATTTAACTATTTTATATAACTGAATTCAAAATCACATTTTTCCACCTTAATGTCCTCTCTGTTGTGAAGAATGGGTATAACAGATAGTCTAAAATAAGAATACACATAATATTACATAAGGTTCAGTATACAGTAATTGTTATTACAAAATAGGAAACTTTTACCAATTAAAAAATATTGTTCATGAAACATATTTTTATTTAGGAAAATATATCATCATGTTTTAAAGAATATTGCTCATAAGACTGTGTATTGATCCTGTTATTACAGATATAATCTTACTGCTTAACGTTATTTTATTTATAGTGAGTGTTGTTCGTATGTTGTGTTTTTGTGGATTTAAAAACTTGTATATTTTTCCTAATTTTAACATTATTATTTAAACTATTTTTATAATCATCAAAATTAATATGTTTTACAACAGTTTTGGTAATACCTTTTGATTTTTTCAATAATATTTGTTTTTTCCATTTTCTAAATAAAAATCATTTATAGTTTTAAAATGTGTACAATTCACTACATTCATCTTTGAAACACTTATAACCTTTTTTTGAATGATTCGACATGTTTATATGTTTTATTTTCCCTTTCAAATCCAGATGGTAACAATTTTCATAAATATTATAAATTGAGTAGAAAAATTAATCAATGTTTAAACATATTAACTTTACTTTTTTATAATTGTATAGTGAAAAGTTATTCATTTAATATTTACTTAATTCTAATATGGTTAACCCTGTGTAAATGGGTTTATCAAAACTCATTAGTAACCTGTTTTTATTTTAGTATTGAATTAGTTACGGTATATGGTTTTAAATTAGGATAATAAGAGGAGTACCTTTTTAACACTGTATTTTTTTTCTATTCTTACAGATCTTCTTAGGGGAGGTGGACGTATTAATCTTGCAGATCGTCTCAGAGGAGAGGATGTTTTTTTTTTCTCTTCATCTGCTGTAACATAAATACAATAAGTTTAGAAAAAAAATTGTAATCTCACAAAGTATAAATGTGAACAAAATCAACAGCAAAATAAATTCATTTGGTTTTCATGTTTCCATACAACTGGTCCAAACATAATAAATATCACACACATATTAGAACAGAAAGCATATTTTTCATAAACATAAAATTGTCAAACTATATGTTAATGAATTCAGAATTTCATCCTAAATATTATGATAATGATTTGATTATGTAAATAGTAGAAACATAGCTTGATTCAACAAAATACAGACAAAACAGTTTTCTGTTTACTTGATTCTGGTTTTACAAATATAAATTAGAAAATACTGTATTAACAGATTTGAAATTATTATAATATTTTTTGTATCATAGGTAAGCTAACTAAGTGTGTATAATTTGAGTAATTAAAAAATATGATATTATCATGTTAAGTGATACAATTTTTAAGTTATTTTCGAAAATAACAAACAATATCTCTTTACATACAACCCCTATTTCATTATACAGTGTATAGCTGTATAGTTATAGCTGTTAGTTGTTAACCAAATTTATATAAAGAAATTTCCTTTCAAATAAATTTTTAAGAAACATGTTCTAAAAATTTAATAAACATCAAGTTAATAACTATAAGAGAAAGATTTACCTATATTAATAGTTACTTACGATGAAATCGTTTATTAATATTGAGTTTTTAATGCATCCTTTTTTTATGGTTCGTCGAGGTTTTTGAATGTCCATTTAAAAAAAAAAATACAAAATAAGCTTTTACAATATCACATTAAAGAAATGTTTATTATTTTCTTATAAAGAGTTAACCAACCTATCTTGTTTCCCTCAATTCTCACAGCTTAGGATTAAGTCTTAAGGTATAAGCAATTTTCAAAAGGTAAATGATGAAAAAAAAAATAATTAAGAGAGTTAAGTTAGAAAGGAGGTATTGTGTTAATCTTATGGTTGAGATAGAAACTGTATTAATATTTAAACTTGAAAGGAGTTTGTATTATTATAACTAGAGTACATATTGCTCAAATTCAAGTAATTATAAAATATTACAAGAGTTATTTCAAAACAAATAATTGTTATATTTACAATAATTTTAAAAGACACAACTCAATGATTATTGGTGTGTAACTCATACCATGTTTATCTTTGTTATTGATAAACCTAAAGCATTCCAGCTGGTTTTCTCCTTAAAAAAAAAAATGCTTTGCTGTGCTGATGTACATGCTGTAACACAGTTTATTCAACAACAGTTATGTTGTTAGAGGGTTAATTAAGAATGAAAAGTTGTTTGTGATAGTGTTAAGATGTATTTGTAACCTAATATTTGATATTATTAAGGGTTAGGTGTTTACTGTAATGAGTTAAAACTTTATACACTACTGTTCTGTAGCTGTATTCATTATCACGATTATGCCTTCTGTCTATGTTTTTGTTATCACCACATTGGAAGCATTTAAAAGAACAAAAAGCAACAAATAAATAAATTATAGCTACACAAAACAACAATAAATACACAAAATTTAAAACACAGCCATACTAACACAATCCATCTTGGGGTTATGTTTACACAAACTCAAATAGTAAAAAAAAAAAACATTTACTCAATTTGTTTCATTGGATTGAAAAAATAAACATCAATTAAATTACACAGCTAATCAAAATATAAACAATTATATTCATCATAAAGATAATATGGGAAACTTTTAAGGTTACACAATATGCTCTTTCCAATCAGACATCAATGGATAAAATTAGTTAAGAAATGGCAAAGGAATTCAATCAATAAAGTTTTATGTTGCATATTAATTATATAGACTAGTGGCTTGTAGGAAGATAAGTCTCTAAACCGCTCAAATGTAAAACATTGTAAGAATTATATTTTCTATGTGTCAGAATAGATATCCCTGTACACCATATCTTTAGTTTAAAACTGTTTTTGTTTATCTTTGTTTGCTTTTGTTCAAGTTATTTTTTTCAATAAATAATGTGTATCACTGCAGAGGTTTAACTCTGCTAAATGCAGCAAACATATAACTATTTGTGAATAAATACTGGTTTTGATAACTTTGGTGTTTGGTCTTGTGGTTAATGGTGATAAATAAATAGGCTTCCCTAATTGAAATTGTGGTGCCACTTAACTGTCAAAGACAATTTAATCATGTGTTCTGGATTTTGAAGTATTGGGTCATCTGGCTGCTGCCAGATAGCCCCAGGAAGTGGATTGTTAATATAGAAAAGCTGCCTTGCTAACTGAGGAGTGGCTGGATTAGCTAATGCGATAACAGTTCCCCAAAGATTATTCACTGTTACGTAGAGAGGGTGGGGACCATTGAAATTTGGAATAAAACTATTGTA